ACCATCCGGTGAGTGCAGGGCTTTTTTTTTGTTTGTTTTTTAAGTGCTGGGATGCTGGGGCTGGGTGGGGCAGCCAGTTACGGGGCTGGAAGAGTGGGCAGGAGTCAGGGGGCACTCAGAGGGGATGTGGAAGCAGGCAGGGGATGGGGTCTGGTGGGGGTCCCCCCATGATTCCCTCCACCCTCCTCCAGCCCCCCCACCCCATACCCTATTTACCAGCACGGAGCCTGGTTCCAGCTCCCTGTGGCGGCAAGCGGGGACTGCGTGAATCTCCAAATCTTCTATGAATTGATTCAGAGGCTTCAAATCCATTCAAACCTTTTAACTGGTCTCTGATTTGGATTCAGAGATTTGGCTGCCAAATTGGGCCAAATCTCCTCCGAATCGAATCAGCAACCAAAGCTTCGCCCAGCTTTACTACCTATGTTTCCTATGTGGATCCCTGTTGAATTCATAACTGGCTTTGAGAATGATTTGTGCTACAACAATCTGGTCCTTAGAATCTTTACTTACCCATGGAAAGCGGAGATTTTGCATGACACTTAGGGACTGAATATTTTATTTCCCTTACATTGTTAATTATAGAAACCAAAAGTTGTTGCAATCACTTGATGCCATACTTATTCTTCAGAAGGGAAATAACTAGAATAGTTGAGTAGTATCTAGTAGCAACTTGGATTTTTTAATCACTCCCTTTGTGTTCCTGATACATCTGCTTAATAACTAGTAACTTGAAGCAGCAACGTATTATTATGTTTGTAACAGTAATAATTTCCCATATCAGTAATTATTTGAATTGCAAAGTTCCTGAATACCAGCTAATAAAGTAGAAGGCTAAACATAATGAGTGCAGGTTATTGTATTCATAATGCAGCTTGCTTCACACTGCCCTTAGGCAGCAGAATAAATTGTTGCATTGATCAATGCGGTTACTAGAAATCTTACCAAGTTAGGTGACAGCAATGACTGGAAATGAAGAAGAACACCTGCATTAGCTATCTGTTCCAACCACCTTCTGCTGGCCTCTGAAGTCTCCATTTCATACTCTTTGCTGTTGTCAAACATCTGATTTAATGCAGCCATTAGTTGCTCAGAAAAAGCACAGACTGTGGCTACTAGACTTTGGCAGAAGACCATGTCTCGTCTGAGCTGTATTTCACTATCTGTGAAGGGTAAATCAAAGAAGGAAAAGCAAAGAAAAGAGAGAGAATAAATTAACTGTAAAGCAACTGGATTGCAAGTTTTCTTGTTTTAAGAGCAGTTGTTCTCTAGAAAAAAAACTCATATTGCAGAAAACCTGGATACTAATTACATTTGGCTCCTTCTCAGGAAAAAGCCAAAATAAATTAAAAGAATGGTTTAAAAAGCTAAAACCCACAAAACAGAATTTGGCTGGCATAAGCTCATCCTTCATTGAAGCACTGGCCACCAGCCAATGGAAAGGAAGTGTCCTTCCTCTCAGACTTTGCTTGGTACCCAACAGACAAGGCTGTTTGGTTCCCAAAGAAGTGATACCTCTTTTAATAGCATCTGGGATTTACTTCATTGATTTGTAGTGTGTAATACCTGCAGTTCATGAACTACATATGTTCTTTTTAATAACATAAAGGGTCTATCCATGAAGGCTGATAAAGATGTTGGGATGCATCTGTGAAGAGACAGAAGCAGAGCTCTCCAGCTCAAAGCAAGGAGATGCAAATTTGAAAAAATTAACAATGTGACAAGCCATTTAAAGCAAAAAAAAAAATCCTCGCATTATAGGGTATGAGCGACTGCATAGCTTTGTGACTCAATCCCTTTTAATTCCAGTAATGTAAAAATTAAGCAGCATGATCTTCTATTTGCACTTTGGCAGTCATTTACACCTGGTTGAAGCAAATACATGCTTTTTCTCATTTGGTAAAGTTATACACCCTTTTCTCTATTGGTATAAATGACAAAGTAAAGGACAATAGTGACTAGAATCAAACATAAATAGGCAGGATATCTACTCTGTTCCCAGTAAAGCACACTTACCTGCAACTTTGGCCACATCTATGATCATTAGCCAGTTACCCTTTTTATCTGCACCATATAAGCCAGTAGGTGTATCTTTCTAGATTTTCAGAATACTGCCCACAGAAACCAGTGCTTCTCTATGCCAGTTCTACTCTGGGCCTTGATAGCTTTCAACTTGCAATGCTGCAATTTCCTTCTCTAGGACCTCTCCAGGCTCCAGTTCTTTGGAATCTCGCACTTACAGAATTTTCACATCTATAGAGAAATGCAATATTGTCCCATCTCATATAATTCCAGTGAGCCCCCCCATAATACAAACTGTTCTTTCTGCTTTTACCACCCTTTCATGAACCTTTCTCTTGCAAACTGGGTTCTCTTTATGCTCTTAACTCATATTTTCATTTGTCTATCCTCAACCCTACATTTTAAACACTTCATATTTTATTTTGACATTGTTTATAATAACAAACTCAACAGCTTTCTGTGTAACTACTTTTATTAAAACCTCATAAATGAGAGCTGTAGAATATATAATAGTGTGTCAACTCTGCAAATCTTATTTTATAATATTAAACTTAATTTAACCTAAAAAAATTGTTTAAAATGTTCAGCCTTATTAAAAGGGAAACAGTTCTCTCTTTCATGAAGAACCTCAGTTTCTTTGGATATGGTTTGTTCTCAGATACCTGCCACAGAATATTACCAAAGAAGTATGTCAGCCAGTTACAACCCCACTCCACTCCCCCTACCCCCAGAAAAAATCAAATGAGTTCTGCACACAGATTTCTTATTGATATTACACATGTGGGTTCTTTAAGGCTAGGAACAGACATTGAAAAAGCCTAAGCCTGAATTGATTCACTCTTTGCAGGTTAGTCTAAGCTGCTCAGCTTAAACTGATTAATAACAGGACAGACATTCTCTGTTAAATCAGGAAATGCAGGCACATCCCTGCAGTAGCTCAAGCCAGAAGCCAGGACGGGGGGATGCTACAGCATGCCTGCCAGCCACTGCCAAAGGGGAGGGAAGAGAGAGGCCCTCAAAGGCTCTCACCCCTCCCTGCTGGAGCAGAGTGGGCATGGCCAGGCACCAGCTGGGGCTAGCAGTACACACAGGATGCCAGCCTGGGTGGGAAGGGGGAGAAACTGCTGCTAGACTGAGGAGTGGGGATGGGAAAAAAGTCCTTGCTCTGAAGCAAACAATTTGCAAAGCATACAACAGGGAACTACCAAAAATCTTTGCCTAAGCTAGGATACAGCCCAGTAAAACACAGCATACACAATTTAGTCTAACTTAAAATGTAAAGCAGGAAGACAAGAGAAAGCCTTGCGTAAGTCATACTAATCCTGGGGGCAAAGCCAGGCATTCCCAAAGGCCTTGTTTAGGTTTCACAAGTTCTACTTTATAGTGTAAATGTAGCTCTCTGCTTTCTTTATCTGCAGCTTCCAGTCAGAAGCTGTCTGCAACTTCCCCTAACTCTATCTCCAGCACATACATGTGATGATTGTCAGGTCTTTGCCAACATTTCCCACCTCTCAGCCTGATCCTGCAGGTCTTAGCTCTGGACTCCAGACCACTGTGGAATTAATCCCCGCCCTGACTGCAGGCAAGCTGGACAGAGGGAGGAATTATTTCCATCTCTGCCTGGCTGCAAGAAAGCCATGGAGGTGTGGCTGGGGCTGGCAAACCCCAGCTGCAGTCCGCAGGGTTTGCCAGTGCAGGGAAGAGGGGACAGAGGGAGGAATTTCCCTCAGGGGCCATGGCAGGCCAGCGTCTGGCCATGCCCCGCCCCTGGTCCAGCTAGAGAGCAGAGGGGAGGGGCCAGCAGAGAGCCCCACCCAGCCCAGAGAGCATGCTGTGATGCTGGGGGTCATCATGGGACATCATGGCCCCAGAGGCAGAGCGGGGCAGGGAGGAGGTTTAGTCTTCCCTCTACCCACACTAGCAGCCGGGTCTGTGCATCGTTGCTGCAGTGCTCACTCCCTGCAGCAAAATAGGCCCCCTGCTCTCCCCTCCACCAGACACCAGAGGGAGGTGGAATAACACTGTCCTTGACCCCACCCCCAAGAGGCCCTGCTGGCTGGTGTCTGACAATGTCCCCCCCTCCCTCCAGTGTCTGGTGGAGGGAACAGCAGGGGTCTTATTCCACCAAAGGGAGTGAGCACAGTGGCAATGCCAGGCAGACCCAGCTGCCAGTGGGGGTGGAGAGGAGACTAACCCCCCATCCCTGTCCCCCTCTGCCTCAGGGGCCATGGTGCTCCACTGCTGCATCAGAGAGGGGGAAGCACCAGGCAGACCTGACTCAGGTCACCGCTGATGGGACTGGGAGGGGGAATTAAACCCCTCTCCAGCCAGTTCAGCCCAGGGTGGCTATTCCTCCCTCTCCCCCCCGCCCCACTGCACATTTCCTTGCAGCTGAGGGTGCTCTCTAGTGCTCCCCAGCTCCTAGCCTGAGCAACTGCAGGTGCGTGCCCACATTGCCTCAGTCCAGACAGAATGACTGTCCTGTTACAAACTAATTTAACCTAGGTAGTTTAGACTAACCTGCAAAGGTTGAATCTATTCTGGCTCCAGCTTTTTGAATGTCTGTCCCTAGCCCCTAAGGGAATGATTTACTCTTGGGAGCCAGAGCTAAAATGAGAATCTCAGAGTTTGAACTCAAAGGTTCAATTTATATTAAGTTTATATTATCTTAACCCATTTCTTAAAAATTTTCCCACTGAGAAGGCGCATCTATACGTGCCCAACTGCTAATGCAAATACTAAATGACAGCACGGTACCCGCTGGTACTCTGCAGCCCCAGTGGCGCAGGGGTCATTTCCAACTGTATGTTGCTGTAGCAATGAGCTACAGCAATGTAGCTTGTTGTACAGAGACATAGCATCTTGTGTCAATGTGCCCAAAGAGAAATTTCTAACTTTCCATTTCCTAAACATAACAAATTTTTTGAACAATTTCAGAATTTCTGTAAGAACAGGAATTCAAGTTTAGTATCTACTGCACCTGATTTTCTGGAGGTAGTTTAGCTGGAGATCTTCTTGCTAGCAATTGTGCCTCCAATTAATTGTATCTGCTAAACTAACAAGCCTTGTAAGTATTGAACCAAGTCAATTTTTCTACACTAGCTATTCTCAATTTAAATCCTTTGGAGAATTATTAATGAAGGTAGTAGAGGCATCTAAGAAAGTACAAGAGAGAAGACAGGCATGATATGGGTGTGTTCAAAGGGGTCTGGAAGAATATATGAGAAAAGAAGTTACCAGAATGGCACCACCTGGGAAAAGGGGAAGAGGAAGACCAAAGATGAGATGGAGAGATATAGTAGAGAGGGACATGAGAGAGAAGGAGATAGTATGACCAAAACCAGTGGAAAGCCAGAATCCACAACAGCAACAAGCAAGGGAAGAAGAAAAAGAGAAAAGGAGAATTATTAATAATTATAAAGGAAAACCTTAACAAAATTTTGTTCCATTTTCCTTTATTTAATGCTGTGGCTTGTCAAAACTGTTTGGTGTAATAGGAATGTATATGGTACTGGAGTACAGTTATAATAATGGGTTTTATCATAAAATGCCATTGCCTCACTTGGCATTCAACCACCTGCAAAAGTTGTAGATTGCCCACTTACTTTTATAAGTTTGCATATTTCAAATAGTTATTAATTCATGAAATTATGGTAAAGCAGCCCACAGAACATGAAGAGCCATTTCCAAAAAGTAGGACCATCATTTTTTTTCAAACTACCCAATATATACTGAGCATAATTAAGTGAAAGAGAAGAGGGTGGAATGGCAAAGCAAGAAAAGATAACAGAGAAAGTAGGACAAGGGGAATCTGGAAATAAAGGGAGGGGGGAAAATGAATGGGAAAATAATGATAAGGGTCAGAAAGAAGGCAGAGAAAAAGATACCAAAAATATTTCAGACTAATTCAGGGCTTTGGCAGCACTTCATGTGTTGAGATCCAAAGTAAATGACAGGGCAGGATGTTTGGAATACAACACAAACATGACATGAGAATTCTGTCTTGCTTGTTACGGCTTTCAGTTAATATTTCCTGTCCCCTCAGGAATCCTTTGTGAGCTTGGGAAGGGGAGAATTCCACATTGCATCAAACCTGGGCAGTGGAACGATCCTTGCCTCGGCCTCCCTGGGGAATTTTGGTTGATCTATAGTCAGAGCAACTCAACAGTAAATCTGTGAAGACAGATTCTACTGCTTCAGAAAAACAAAGCATAAAACCCCCTTAAAATTCAGATTGGGACTTGCCCATTAAAATTACCTGTGTATTCAAGAAGTGCCAACAGCAGTCTTGCCTTCACCTCTGGGGGGAAAAAAAAGTTTTAGGATATCATCAGAATTATTCTTTATATTGATGTATTTGCAATTCTCCTAACGTCATACTGATATAAGTTGAGTGACTTCACTAAAGTCATTCATGTTTAACACCTATGAAATGGTAAATCAGGTTCATTTTTCATTACAGTTAACTTACTTTTACTTCACACTTGGTTAAATTACTCATAATCCAAGATCCAGGTCCTAAAAAGGGAAGTGTGCAGGTGGAGTATCCCTCCCTCCTGTGTAAGTATCCCTCCCTGGACCTCCCCACCGCACAGATGTGGAGGTCAGTTTTAACCAAGTGTGAAGTAAAACTATACCATAGCAAAATGGCCATTCTCATTTTTAAGGATTTGGGAGTTTTGTATAAACATTTTGTACAAGTTAAACATTGTTATGACCTGAAGCCATACAACAGTCAGAAAACATCTTAATTTGGCATAAAACTTTTAAACATTTCAGAACAGGTTAAATCATGTTGCACTTCTAGCAAATAAAAATACTGAAAAGTCATCTAAAAATGCAGCAGTTTGGATCTAGAATTTGAGCTAACATTTTCTCTTTCATAATTTTGAAGGGAAAGGACATTGTTACTGCTTTTGAGTCTATCTATATTTAGTAAGAATAAATTTCACAAGCAATGTGTAAGGGAAACAAGTAATACACCTACTCATATGAAGATTCTGATTTCATGAAAATACTGCTTGTTGATCATAAAAAGCACAAAATGTTTTATATTTCATCAGGGTATGAAATGTTATGGTTCTGTAGCAGAACCATGAACAGAACAATTCTCCCAGATCTGAGCCTAGTGCCTTAAAGCTCTTTCTTCTTATGACAGTCTGTCAGGGTTACAGTTTTACCAGGTTTTTAATCACAATCACACCCTTTCTACAGGCTCTCTGAGCACACTAATCCTGGCTTCTCTGTAAAGGTGAGCCAGAAATTTCCTTAGTTTCAGAAACAAAACCTCTGTTTTACTACACACCTTTTTGTAGTGTAAGCCATGCTGGCTTGTCTCCTAAAGGGAATTTACGTCTACGGTGAAAGAATGCAAATGAAAAGAAATTCAACAGTGCAGGCAGCTTTTCCAAAAGAAGCCAACATTGATATAGTTAGTGTCTGTGTAGTCATGTGATGCAGAGTCTTTCATTTAACATAGCCAAGCTATACTACGGGCAGTGGACTGGGACCATAGGGGACCACCACTTCAGCAATTCAGTTGCCTCTACAGTATGTCATTGTATTATCTCAAGGACCTATACTTCATCAAGTATATAAGTATGTGGAAAATGTAGGAAGACAAGCCAGAAAAGTATAAAGCAAAGCAAAAGACCCCCAAATTCCAAGTTCGTCTGGAATGTATCCTGACTATCCCTCTGAGGATATTCATACAGTGCACAGTGTAATGCCATGTAGGAAGATACCCAAGCTACCTCTAATCTCCAGTATTCAGACTTTCCTGCATGGCACTGCATTGTACATTGGAAATATCCCTTTAAACAACAGACCCTTCATATTTATCCTCTTTGTCATCAACTCTGTGGCAACATGTTAAAAGTTAATATCCACTCCTTGGGGTGATCCTTTTTCAAATGTAGGGTGCCATCCAGATCTTTGCTGGCCATTAAGTGTTAACTGAGGGTCTGCCTACCTGGGAAAGTTCCTGAAAAGTAACCTAGAGCAAGGATGTCATACATGGCCTGCGTGATGGATCCAGCCCATGAAGCCATACGATCTGAACCATGGGTCTCTGAACCAACCCCACACACCACATGAGGCATGTGCCAGCCTCAGCTCCAAATGCTGTATGTGATATGCAGGTGGACTTAGCACTGCGCATGCTATTCACAGCTCAGAGGTTTGGTCCAGGGCACCTGGACCAGACTGGCTTTGCCTGCTGGGCCAGGGTTAGTCTGGCAGGGCACCACATGCAGGACATGCCCCATGTTGGTCCCCTGTGCCACAGGAAGTATGTATGGCTGATCCAGACTATGCTCTGTATGCAGCACAGGCCAGCCAAGGGGCTTACTCTGCACACGGTGTGCAGGGTAGACCTGGCATTGCACACAGCATGGGGGAAAGTCTCATGAACAGGCTGCATGTTATGCCCTGTGCACTGGCTCTGGCATGTATGAGCAGCTTGGGGCCAGATCCTGACAGGTCCCATAGTCAGCACTCCGGACCAGTCCAGAAGGGTACTGTGTGCAAACCCTGCCCCAGACCTCTTTGTGCTGCATGCACAGACAGTGCAGTTGGTCCCAATCCAGCCCACAGACTGGCCCAAAGACACTCATCCAGCCTACAGGGCTGGATGCATTTGCTACTACTGACCTAGAATGTGGATTTACAGAATACTAGCTTCTCCCAACTAACTCCCATGAGCATACTTATGGTATGCAGCAAGTGTAAGCTTGCTAAAGGGAAGTTTCTGTGTCTAGCTGCTAGATACCTATGCACCATTTACCTATATGTCACTTCACATCTAATGTAGGGAAGAGATTAACTCATTCATCCCTAGTGGTTCATAATACATAGGATGTGGGGAAATAGAGCATGTATATTTTTATATGGATATTGCAAAAATGTTTATATTTTCATATACTAGATGGGGAATAAGTCATTGAGATCATCTCACTGTCGACCCAACCAAATGGTTGAGGAGCCCCAGGTCCCCTGCAGTCTCCGCCTACTGCCCTAACTACTTGACTGGAGAGACTATCTTACTACATTTGAAAAAATAGGCTTTGATGTTTTAATGCATATATTAACATTTTGTCTTAGGTGATGCATCAAACCTTGAGTTCATTGACAGTCTGATTTGGATTTTGTGTACACTTAAAGACCAACATTTTCAAACCAGCAGCTGCTGATTTTGGGTGCTGAATTCAATTGCCACTGTATTAAAACCGTATATTGCTACTAATTAAATAGAAGGCACGCTA